TGAAGCTCGGAGGAGAGGCGAGAGGGGGAGAGCGCCGAGAGAGCGACTGAGGAACGGGAGAGGCCCTGAGGGTTGTTGCGCGCGCGCAACAAATCGTCAGAACCAAGGCTGAATCTCAGCGGATCGTGGCAACAAGGCCACTCTGCCGCGTACAATACCCCGTTCCTTATTCAAGTCGTCTGCAAGGGATTCGTCGGCCCGGGTCCGTGAATTGTGGTCGCTCGCGGCTCAGGCAGTGCTACCGTTGCTCGTGGCGTCCCCGGGCCGGTAGGTGGCTTTCCTTCCGGCATGGATTCTAACTTAGAGGCGTTCAGTTATAATCCGGCGCATGGCAGCTTCGCCGCATCGCCGTTTCCGGCGGCGGCTATACCGATGATGCGAATTGGTGGTTCCTCTCGTACTGAACCAAATTACCGTAGAAAAACAGACAGCAGTAGGGTAAAACTAACCTGTCTCACGACGGTCTAAACCCAGCTCACGTTCCCTGTTGGTGGGTGAACAATCCTGCATTTGGCCCCCGCTGCGAGGCAGTGATAGGAAGAGCCGACATCGAAGGATCAAAAAGCTACGTCGCTATGAACGCTTGGCAGCCACAAGCCAGTTATCCCTGTGGTAACTTTTCTGACACCTCTAGCTTGAAATTCCCAAAGACGAGAGGATCGATAGGCCACGCTTTCGCGGTTTGTATTCGTACTGAAAATCAAAATCAACCGAGCTTTTCCCCTTTCGGTCCACATGAGATTTCTGTTCTCATTGAGCTCAAAATCGGGCGCCTGCGTTATTTTTTAACAGACGTGCCGCCCCAGCCAAACTCCCCACCTGTTAGTGTCCCCGACGCGGATCGCGCGCACGAAGCGGCTTGGATCCAGAAGTGAGGCGAGCCTCCCTCCGCGCCACCGAGTAAGTAAAACAACGTTGACGGTTGCGGTATTTCACTGTCGGGTTGCCCCTCCCGCATATTCTACACCCATCAAGTCGTTCCACAGTAACAGACTAGAGTCAAGCTCAACAGGGTCTTCTTTCCCCGCTGATTCTTCCAAGCCCGTTCCCTTGGCTGTGGTTTCGCTAGACAGTAGATAGGGACAGTGGGAATCTCACGAATCCATTCATGCGCGTCACTAATTGGATGACGAGGCATTTGGCTACCTTAAGAGAGTCATAGTTACTCCCGCCGTTTACCCGCGCTTGGTTGAATTTCTTCACTTTGACATTCAGAGCACTGGGCAGAAATCACATTGCGTCAGCACCCTCGCGGGCCATCGCAATGCTTTGTTTTAATTAAACAGTCGGATTCCCCTTGTCCGCGCCAGTTCTGAAGCGGCTGTTCGTCGCGCAGGGAGAGCCGGAGCGCTCCTAGGCCGTCCGCCGGACGGCCGCGCGGGATCCGCAGCCGTGAGGCCGTAGTCCCCGCGCAGCCAGCCGGCCTCGAGCCTAGGACCCCTGCGCCCAGCCTTCAGAGCCATTCCTTCTCCCGAGGTTGCGGAACCATTTTGCCGACTTCCCTTACCTACATTGCTCTATCGACTAGAGGCTGTTCACCTTGGAGACCTGATGCGGTTATGAGTACGACCAGGCGTGAGAACGAACCGCTCCCCCGGATTTTCACGGGCCGTCGGGAGCGCGCCGGACACCCCAAGACTTAGGGTGCTTTGCCTGCCGTGTAGCCCTCGCTCCGGCTAAACCGATTCCAGGGCAGGAGGCAGTTAAGAAGAAAAGAGAACTCTTCCCAGGGCTCCCGCCGGCGTCTCCGGGTTCGTTCGCGTCGCCGCCCACCATCCACGCGCTGGCTCGGGAATATTAACCCGATTCCCTTTCGACGGACGGGCTGACAGAACCAGCCGCGTTCGGCGGAGTTTTCCTGTCTCTTAGGGTCGGCTCACCCGTGTCCAACTGCTGTTCACACGGAACCTTTCTCCACTTCAGTCTTCAAAGTTCTCATTTGAATATTTGCTACTACCACCAAGATCTGCACCGGGGCCCGCTTCACCCAGGCTCGCGCCCAAGGCTGCGCCGCGAGCCCCGCGCCCTCCTACTCGCCGGCGCCTCGCGCTCGCGCCGGCGGCCGCGCATCGGTGGTCCGCTTGAGCGCCATCCATTTTCAGGGCTAGTACCTTCGGCAGGTGAGTTGTTACACACTCCTTAGCGGGTTCCGACTTCCATGGCCACCGTCCTGCTGTCTGGAGGTACCAACGCCTTTTGTGGTATCTGATGAGCGGACACTTGGGTACCTTAGCGCGGCGTTCGGTTCATCCCGCATCGCCAGTTCTGCTTACCAAAAATGGCCCACTTTGAACGCGCCGTTCGCCGCCCGGGATCACTCAAGCATCCCGGGCCTCTTGCCCATTTAAAGTTTGAGAATAGGTGCAAGCTGTTTCAGCCCACAGGCCTCTAATCATTCGCTTTACCTGACAAAACCGTTGCGTTCAAGCTATCCTGAGGGAAACTTCGGAGGGAACCAGCTACTAGATGGTTCGATTAGTCTTTCGCCCCTATACCCAGATTCGACGAACGATTTGCACGTCAGTATCGCTACGAGCCTCCACCAGAGTTTCCTCTGGCTTCACCCTACCCAGGCATAGTTCACCATCTTTCGGGTCCCGACAGGTGTGCTCCACTCAAACCCCTCACAGCAGGTCAAGGTCGGTTGGCAGGGCATGCCCTTCACTTTCATTCCGCACGCGGGCTTGCCACCCGGGTACTCGCACACGTGTCAGACTCCTTGGTCCGTGTTTCTAGACGGGTCGGAGGGGCCCGTTCCGTCAGCCGGGCCCCGGGCCGCGCCAGGACGGGAGCTGGCCGTAAAGCCCCGCTCCCGGGTTGAGGCGCGGCGCCGAGGCGCGGCTGACCCGGCGCGCAGAAGTGCACCTGGGGAGAACCCCAGGCTGAGTCGGCGCGCCGAAGCCGGGCCCATCCGGGTTTCCTCCTACCGATTTCAAGCACTCTTTGACTCTCTTTTCAAAGTTCTTTGCATCTTTCCCTCACGGTACTTGTTCGCTATCGGTCTCTCGCCAGTATTTAGCTTTAGATGGAATTTACCACCCAATTCAAGCTGCAATCCCAAGCAACCCGACTCGACGAGGACGCATCGTAAGGCCGCAACCCGCCACGGTACGGGATTCTCACCCTCTCCGACACCCTGTTCCAAGGGACTTGAGCGGCGGGCGCGGCCGATAACGCCTCTCTAGACCACAATTCGGGGGGCGCTGCATACGCGAGGCCTCCAGATTGGCAGCGTGAGCTCAGCCCGCTTCATTCGCCATTACTAGGGGCATCCTGGTTAGTTTCTTCTCCTCCGCTTAGTGATATGCTTAAGTTCAGCGGGTAGTCTTGCCTCATTCGATGGCGGGTTTCGAGGCGCGCGGCCGCACAGAGAGCGGCCGCGCGCCGGGACGGGCGGGCCTCGCTCTCCGAAAGGAGAGGAGAGGCACCGCGCACGCCGTGGGGTCGCGAGGCAGAACGGGGCACGCGTCCGCCGGAGGTCTAGTCGTGGACTTAGCACTCCGGCGGGGACGCGGGTTAGACGCCGCCGCCGCGCTCGCAAGGCAGCCTTGGGCGGGCGCGCGAGGGGGCCGAGGCTCCCCCGCGCGGCCGCCGGCTCCGGAGACGAGAGAGAGAGCTCTCTCGCTCCGAGGAGGATGGAGGCGCCCCTCGAAGAGACATGCGTCCGAGCGGAGCCCGGATGCGCCATTTGCGTTCAAAGGTTCGATGATTCACTGAATTCTGCAATTCGCACTACGTATCGCATTTCGCTGCGTTCTTCATCGTTGCGAGAGCCAAGATATCCATCGGCAGGAGTTGTGGGGTTTCATAAGTTGAGGCAGCGCCGGCGTGAGAGCCCGCGCTGCGCAAGAGAGGGGGCCGTGGGGAGGGGAGAGCCACGCGCGCGCCCGAGGCGCACACGTGCACTCCACACTCACCCAGGCGCGAGACAAGAGGGGTGCGGGCCCGGGTCGGCTCAGGAGAGCCCCCCGGACAGCCGCGCGCTCCACGCGAACGCGGAGCCCGCGACGGGGTTAGACGGGGTACGGTGCAACATCGGTGTGGGTTGGAAAGACCGGTAATGATCCTTCCGCAGGTTCACCTACGGAAACCTTGTTACGACTTCTCCTTCCTCTAAATGATAAGGTTCGGACAGCTTCCCGCGGCGTCGCGGCTGGAGAACCAGCTGCGGCGCCGCAGTCCGGGGGCCTCACCGGATCATTCAATCGGTAGGAGCGACGGGCGGTGTGTACAAAGGGCAGGGACGTAATCAACGTGCGCTGATGACACACGCTTACTAGGAATTCCTCGTTGAAGATTAATAGTTGCAATAATCTATCCCCATCACGATGCAATTTCAAAAGATTACCCGGACCTCTCGGTCAAGGTGATAGACTCGTTGAGTGCATCAGTGTAGCGCGCGTGCAGGGTGTTGTGTGCCGTCAGAGTGACTCTCTGTGTATCAGTGATAGTCAGGGCCGTCCATCAGAGCTCCAGTAAGCTCGGAGACACCCCATTTAGTGCGACTCGACCTCTTTGAGTCACTGCCTTCCCGGCGGGTTTTGGCTGTAGAGCCTCCTACAACAAACTCTACAGCAAAATCGCCTAGAAAATCGCGCTCTACATATACATCGCTCTGTCCCCCCGCGCCGGATGTAGAGCTCTACAGCTCTACAGCGCTCTACAGCGCTCTCCAGCGCTCTACAGCTCTACAGCGCTCTACACTCTACATCCTCTACAGTGACTACAGTACACCCTCCCTCAGGCTCTCCGCTCGCTGCCTCGTCCTGCAGACGGCGCCGCCGCCTGCCGCTCCCTTGCTCTCGCTGCTCGGCGCAGCTCTGCCCTCCTCGCGGCATATTTTGGCCCCTCGAGTTTATCGAGCTCTCCTCGCGCAAGGACGACTCTTCTGCGATCATTTGCCGGCCGGGGTCGGAAATTCTTTGGCGGCGTGACTGTTCAGGTGGTTTGTGAGAGCGTGCGTGGCCCGCGCAGCCGACGCTGGCGCGCGAGCAGTTACAATGGCCGCCAGCGGGCGGAGCTCAAAGCCCGGCGGACCGCGGTCCGACTCTTCTGCCTGGAACTCGCTCAACACTGTGCTGCTGCTTGGCGCAGTGCTGCTGCTGCTTCGCCAGCAGTGGCAGTCGGCAGAGAAGGCGGGCACACGGGTCACGCTCCCTCCGCGCGTCGGGCTCTGGCCGCCCCCGCCCGAGTACGTGGCAGACGGCGGCGGCGGCGGCACGGCGGCGGCAGAGGCGGCGAGCGCGGCGGCGGCGGTGGCGGCGGCGCGCTCCGAGGCGGAGCGGGAGCGGCAGGCGGCGGCCAAGCTCGGGGCGGAGCTGGCTCGCCTCCGGGCGGCCTCACGCACAGCAGCTGGCGGCGGCGGCTCGGCGGCGGCGCGTGGCGGCGGTGCGGGCTCGGTCGTGGCTGCGGACGACGTGACGAGGCTGCGGCGGATGTGGCGGCACCCTCCCGTAAGCCACAAGGAGTCGTGGAAGGAGGTGCACCGCGACTGGTGGCCGCTGCTCGACGCGAGACAGCTCTCTCGCGGCGTCGCCGTCGCAGGCGAGCCGGCGCGGCTCGAGCGGCGGGGCCGAGGACGCTCGGGCCTCCACAGCTTCAGGTGTGAGCAGGCGACCCGGCGAGGCTCGAGTGCCTGGCCGAGAAGCTGCTCGACGGGCGGGGCGTGAGGCTGGGCATCCTCGGCGGCTCCGTCTCCTTCGGCACCACCTTCACCACCTCAAAGTCGCCCGCGGCCAGAGGCGCCGGCCGGCTCGCGGCCTCTGACCCGCACCGCTGAGGGGTAGGTCGCACTCGCTCTTCCACTGGAAGCTGTACCAGTGGCTCAACGTCTCCTTCCCGCAGGCTCGCCGGCCTGGGCCGCGGCTCGATCTCGGCTTGACCTCGGCCACACACCGTGGCTGCCCCCCTCGCCCGCAAGACGAGCACTACTGCGGCGCCTCACCTCGCCCGCACCTCGCCCGCACCTCGCCCGCATCTCGCCTCATCTCGCCCGCAGGCCGTGCACGAGCACTACTGCGGCGCCGTCCCCGCCTCGGGCACTAGCCACTCCTCGAGCTGGCCGCTGGGGGGGCCGTCTCTTCACACCCTCGCGCTGGGAACAGGCCCCGCCTACATGGAGCATTGCTTCAACTGGCGCCCCTCCCGCCCCCCGAGCCGGCCGCCTGCTCGGCCGACGCCTGCTTTGCCCTCTTCACACAGGCCCTTCCTGTGGACAGGCACCTCCCGCCCAAGCCCGACCTGGTCGTGGTCGAGTACGCCGTCAACTTCGACACCACCGTCGACGAGGCGCCCACCTCCGCCTCTCCCCTCCCCCCCCCCCCTCACCCCTCTCCCCACCAGCTCCTGCCGGCCAGCTCCTCACGCCCTGCGCAGGACGCTGCGTCCTTCGAGCGGCTCCTCCGGCAGCTGCTCAAGCTGCCCGGCGCACCCGCGGTGCGGACGAGCCATTCACAGCTCGCAACGAGCGCCACCCTGCACCGCCTCCCGCCCGCGGTGGGAGCACTGTTGTGTGAGCAGGTGCTGCTGCTCAACACGCTCGAGCTGATGGTCCACCCCGCCAGCTGGGGGGCAAACGTGCAGCGCATCTTCTTCTCGGGTGCCGCCCTCGACGCCGCACGCAACCTCGGCTGACGCGGTCCGCGACACGCCCCCCCTGCCCCGCCCCGCCAGGCTGCGACGGGTACGGCTGCCTCAAGGCGCCCCCTTGGGCAGACTCGAACGACCTCGCCTTCCCGTGAGACAGACCTAGCCGAGATCTGGCCGAGATCTGGCCGAGATCTGGCCGAGATCTGGCCGAGGGTTGGGAGAGGGCTGGGTGAGATCTGGGAGAGAGCTGGGTGAGATCTGGGAGAGAGCTGGGCAGAGAGCTGGGCAGAGAGCTCGCGAGATGTGGTTTTGAGACCTGGCGAGACCTCTCCTGCCAGCGAGGCGCCGCAGTCGGTGGGCGGTGGGCGGTGGGCGAGCGTGACACGACTGCGGGCAGGTACGAGGCCAAGGCGGAGGACGCCATCGTGCGGCTCGCCGGCTACTACGGCAGCGCCACCGCGCCAAGCTACGCAGGCGGCGCGCGGGGCCGTCCCCCACCGGCCGGGTGTTGCGAGCAGGCGTGCCCTCCGTCTCGCTGCGCGGCGCCCTCTACAGCGAGCTCAAGTCGAACTCGACCCGCTGGCCGCTCAAGCAGCTCTTCCACGACCGGCACCACCCCGCGGCGTGGGGGCGCTCCTCCTCCCCCCCGCGGCGCACTTGGTCGCACACTCCTCGCTGCGCACGACTCCTCCTCCAATCCTCAGGCACTCCCTCATGGCGCAGCTCGTCATCGACCGGATCCGAGCCGCGCTCGACGCCGTCGCCGCCCGCCGCAGCGCCGGGTCGCGCCCGCAGAGCGTGTGCGCCGCCGTGTCCGCCGAGGCTGCTGCTGGCACGCCGGGCCCGAGCGGCTACCCGCTGCTGGCGCCGCTGCTGTCGCCGAGCGTCGAGGCGCGCCGGCCGTGCCTTCGGGCTCTCTCTCTCTCTCTCTCTTGCTCTCGCTCTCGCTCTCTCTCTCTCTCGCTCTCGCTCTCGCTCTCGCTCTCGCTCTCTCTCTCTCTCTCTCTCTCTCTCTCTCTCTCTTCTCTCTCTCCCTCTCCCTCTCCCCCCCCCTCTCTCTCTTCTCTCTCTCTCTCTCTCTCTCTCTCTTCTCTCTCTCTCTCCGCGGCCACACCGGAGGGGTGCCTGCCGGGCCAGGCGCCGGTCGGGCTCTGCCTCAAGGGCGACGAGCTAACGCGCGCGATGCTCAACTCGTCGACCTTTGCGTACCGCGTCGAGGGCACCGACGCGAAGATGAAGCCGGGCATCATCGGCACCGCGCCGGGCGAGCACGCCGAGTTCTGCATCGACGTCGACCGGCTGGGCAGGGGGGAGCGCTTCACGGTCCTGCTCGGCCACCTCGTCTCGTACGAGCTGTGAACAGCGTCTCTTCACACCTCTCGCTGTGAACAGGTCCTGCTCGGCCACCTCGTCTCGTACGAGCACATGGGCATCGCCCGCGTCACTTGCGAAGGCGCGACGCCTCCTCACCACCTCGCCGGCGCGGCGAGAGGTGCGCCTCTTCACAGCGGCGCCGCGAGCAGGCGAATGCTCATGCCCGGCCGAGGAGGTCGACGCCTTCGTCAAGGGCGGCCAGTTCTCCGTCTTCAAGGCGAAGGTGCTCGAGCTCGCGCGCGCCAGGGCGCCCGCCGCGAAGCCGCCGCCGCGTGCGGGCTGCGGCTGCCAGCTCCGGCTCGAGATCCTGCCAAAGTCGGGCTCGGGCGAGTTCAAGTTCAAGGAGCCCCCTCTCAAGGGGGGCGAGGGGCCCGCTGGCTGAGGCCGCCCTCACGCCTCTTCTTCTCCGCGTGGTAGGTGCTCTCTCTGATGACTGCCTCCAAGCCGGGCCAGCTCAAGTTTGGGCACCAGGCAGCCCCCCCCCCCAAACACACACACGCACGCACGCACTCACGCACGCACACGCACACGCACACACGCACACACACACCGCCCTCACCTCCACGCCTCTCCCTCCTTCCCTCTCGTTGACGGCTCATGCTCTGGGCGCCAGGCGGGCTTCAACGTGCGGCCGGAGGAGCCGCGCACCGAGAAGACAGAGCAGTGGCTCACCGACTCGACGAACCGCGTGAGGGAGCGGGAGAGGAAGGGAGAGCTGCCTCCCTGGGCGAAAACGGAGGCAAAGGCGGCGGGGTAGCGAGGCCGTCCGGTAGGGCGGGGGCGACAGCTTTAGGCTGAGAGGCAGGGACGGGGGCGGGGGTTAGGCGTGAGGCCGGGTCGCCGGCGGTCGGCAGCGGGGTCATTCGACTGTCTCCCCTCTCCGGCCCCGTTCGAGACAGCCCTGCCCCAGCGGTGAATTTTATGTGATTACACGAGCGGATGGCGCGCGCTGCCGCTGGCCGCTGCAGCCTGCACTGATATCCAGATGCACAGGGATTTCAGCTTCCTTGGAGCACTTGGAGTGCACGCGTGCAGTCATTAACCGCACATCCAGGGCCGGGGAGCTAAGAAGCGCAACCCCCAGCCGGCCGGATGATTGGCATCGGGTTGCGGGCAAGAGAGCCCTAGCCCTGGGGGTGCGCGTTCGCAGGGCAAGGGCCGTAAAGTAAACACGGGTCTCCGAGGGTTGGCTCCGCGCTCCGGGGGTTTCCCCTAGCAGCAGCGCCGCCCCCTCTAGCTCTACTCGGAGCTATTAATGGACACCAGACCTGAACACGACACGCACTCTCGCACGACGTCACCGCTCAGGGCCCCTTCGCGCGGGGTCCCCATCCCCACTCCGGAGGAGGCTCCCCTCTCCTCTGGGCTCTTCCTCTTGTTCGCTTTCCGATGGCGCCATCCGACGGGCGCGGGGCCCGACCTCCCCTCCTAGCCTTTTTCAGCCGCGGCCCCGCCACCGTCTCGTCTTCTCTGTCCGATTCTGTCGCCATCACCGACGGCGATCCCGTGCCCGACTCCCCGGGCGAGGACGGCAGTATTGCGTCGTGGCTGGCTTGGAGCACTTGCAGGCTCATTGGTGTGGTATGAGGTTTGTTAAAATGAGGCGAGGCACTTGCTTTTAAAATTCTTTTCTCGCACGAAGGTGACTTGCGCTTGCTGAAATCACAATGGAGTCCACGGCACCGGTATTCGAGGTGACATCCGACTCGCTGGTGGAGCGCGTGCCCACCAACGTGCCAATCACGGGCTGGAGCGCGTCGGAGCTCCCGCAGCTGGAAGAGCGGCTGCGGGCAAAGCTTCAGAACGCCGGCCCACCGACGCCGACGCAGCGGCACGCGGTGCCGGTCGGCCTCGCCGGCCACGACCTCATCGTCAACAGCGGCTCGCACGACGTGCTCGCGCTGATGCTGCCGCTCCTCTCGCCGCTGATGGCCGACGAGACCGTTCCCGCTGTGGCCTCGCCCACCGCGAACGGGGCCTCGAGCGGCGACGGCGCGGGCGGTGGCGGCGCGCTGAGTCGGCCTCGCGCGCTCGTGATCGCGCCGACGCGTCCGCTCCTCGCCGCGGCGGAGGAGTGCGCCGCCTCCCTCACGCGAGGCTCCGGCGTACGGTGTGTGGAGAGGATAGGCGGGCGGTTGGTGCAGGAGAGAGCGCCTCTCACACAGCTTGGTGGTGTGTGCGTGGCAGGTACGCGGTCGCGGGCGGGTCCGCCGAGTGGGAGGAGACGCTTGCCGCGCTGCGCGTGGCGGGTCGCCAGCCGCCCTCGTCGGGCCGGGTCGGGCGGCTGAGCTGCTTCCTCAGCTTGGAGGTGTGATGAGGGTAGGCACCAGCCTCGTCCTCGGCTCTCCTGGCCGGCTGCTCGACTTGGTGGAGAGGGCGTCACTCGACCTGTCGCAGGCGAGAGGGCGCCGAGATGCAGCCGAGATACAGCCGAGGTGCAGCCGAGGTGCGGCCGAGGTGCGGCCGAGGCGCGGCCGAGAGATGTGGCCGAGAGGCGTGGCCGAGACGCGGCCGAGGCTCTTCTCCCGCGGGCGAGATAGATAGGTGCAGGGGGAGGTGTGCGTCTTCACAGCGAGTAGTCGCTGTGAACAGGTCGGCTACCTCGCGGTGCTAGCCCTCGACCAGGTGGCTTGCGGGAGGGCGGGAGGAGGTCCCCCGGGCAGGTCGCCTCTTCACCGCCCCCGCCCCGCCCGTGGACAGGTGGCCGACTTGGGGTACGAGTCGCCGCTCCGGCGCCTCCTCGCGACGCCAGGCGGCCCGCCCCGCGTCGGAGCAGCTCCCCCTCTGCCACGGCCTCCTCACACGCCCTCCTGCTGTGAACAGGCTTCCCGCCCGCCTCGAAGCGCGCTCTCTCTCGCTGCTCTGCGCCGGCCTGCTGCCGCCGCGAGGCCAAGACCGGGTGCCTCTTTCCCTCCCCAGGCGCCTCTCGAGCCTGTCTGCGGCCGGGTCGCTGCCGCGCCGAGGCGAGGGCGGGACTAGGGCGGGATTAGCTGCGGTGGCACCCAGACGCGCCAGCAGCAGCCGTCGGGAGTGCTTATCCGGGCGGCTGGTTCCCTCCCCTCCTCCAGGCGAGGCGGGGCTGTCGCACGAGACGCGAGGCTTGTGCTCGCTGCTCGCGCCAGGCCGCACACTCTTAGCTTGTGAGCTCGTGAGCAGACCCTCTCCACAATCGCCCATCTCTCCCCATATCTCTGTGAGCTCGCGAGCAGACACTCTCCACAAGCCTGCACTCGGGCGGGCGGTGTGAGCAGGCACAGATGTACAGCAGGCACAGATGTACAGCAGGCACAGGTGTACATAGGCCTCCTCGTGCGCGCGTCCGCCATCCGCGTGGCGTCTTCCGACGCCGAGCAGGGCGCGCTCTCCTCGAGGCTGGTGACGCAGCGCGCCGTCTACGCGGTCGACGGCGGGAGGATGGACAAGTTCGCCCAGATCGTGGCGGGCTGCTCCGGCCAGATGACCCTCGCGGGGAGGGAGGAGGAGAGGCCACCCGCCGGTGGTTGACCGTCCGCAGGCGAGCAGCTCCGGCCTCGTCCTTTGCGTCGCGCGGCAGCGGCAGGACTGCGAGCTCCTCTCCTTTCGGTGGCTCGGCGAGGGCGCTGCCCCCGCGCTCGAGCGAGCCAGCTCTCCACCGCCTCCGCCCCGCCGCGACTAGGCTCCGCGACGAGGGCTTGCCCGTGGCGGACGCGTCTGCGGAGCGGCTCAAGCCGCGGGAGCGGGAGGCGCTCCTCTCTTCCTTCGCCAGCGGCGAGCCGTCTGCCCCTCGCCCTCCGCACACGCACGACCAGACGTGCGGGCTGAGGTGCCGGTCTGCGAGCAGGCAAGACCCGCATCCTCGTCTCCACCGACGCGGCGCTGCGGGCCCTCGACGCGGCCAGCCCCTCCTTCTGCATCCTCCTCCTCATTCGGACTCACAGTCCCTGACTCAGTAGGCCCTCGACGCGGCCAGTCCGGAGGCGATGCCAAACGCGCCGCAGTTTTCCTGCACGCCGGCCGGTGGGAGGTGGGTAGCATGACCCGAGTCCGCATCCCGCAGGTGAGCCACGTCGTCTGCTACACGCCGCCAGCTTCGCTGCTCGAGTACGCGCAGCGCGTCGGCCGCACCGGGCGACGAGATATAGCCGAGACAAGCCGAGATATAGCCGCACAGGGCGACTAGGAGCGCTCCCGTCGCATCAGACCTCGCCTTTCGCACAGCCGCACTCGCTGTGAGCAGGCGCGGAGGGCACGTCGGATCCGTCACCACGATCGTGGGCGACGCGGACAGCGGCGACGCGCTGTGCCGAGTGGCGGCGGCGATGCGGGAGGCGCGGCAGGAGGCGCGGCGACGTAGCCGAGATCGAGCCGAGATCGAGCCAGGAGGTTCGGCAGGAGGCGCAGCGCTGGCTCTCCTCCGCCTCTCTCCTCCGCCTCTCTCCTGCTGCGAGACAGCCGCCGTGTCGTTGAGGCGTTCGAGCTGCGCGCAGGTGCCGCGCTGGCTCGACGGGCTCCTCCTCACCGCCCGAGCCGCCAAGCCGACCGCGTAAAGCGGACAACAAGGCGCTGTAGTTGAGGTGTGAGAGACCCAAAAGGGCGCGGGAGACAGAGGGCACCTGCACCCGCGTAAAGTGTCCTCTCGGCCTTCGTTGCTCCCCCGCTGTGGCGGGCAGCAGCAAATGACAGCCAGACGAATGCCTCTCGTGGCATATACAAACCGACAAGCGGTTTTCCATGTCGCATGTGCCAGACACATCTCTCATGTGGCGTCCGCGAGGTCCGTGTTTGTTTAATTTTTACTAATTACCAGAGGAAGTGGTCGAGGTCGATGCCGGGCCCGTTGGTGGAGGAGAGGGTGATGCGGTGCACCGGCTTGCCTCGGAACCGGTCCGGCCGCGCGCCGAGCACCGCCGCGAGGGCAGCGATCGCCTATTGACAACCCAAGGTGTGAGCACGCCCCACTACGGCCGTGCCGCCGCCGCAACCGCCGTGGGCGCGTTATCTGCGAGGCGGTCGGCGCCGAAGGAGACCTTGCCCAGCCCGACCATCACGACGCCCTGGTTCTGCGCGCGGAACTCGACCTGCCCCGCCTTGGCCTGCTGCACCGCCGCCGCCACCTCCGTCACCACCGTCCCTCGCTTTGGATTTGGCATCAGCCCCTTGGGGCCGAGCACGCGCGCAGCCTTGGCGAGGGCGGGCAGCGCGTCGGGCGTGGCGAGCACGCGATCAAAGTCGAGCCGCCCGGCCACCACCTCGGCCACCAGCTCCTCCGCTCCCACCAGGTCCGCACCGGCCGCGCGGGCTGCGTCGGCGTCGGCACCGCGCGCAAAGACCGCGACGCGGACGGTCTTGCCCTGACCGTGCGGCAGCATGACCTGCCCGCGCACGCGCTCCTCGGTGCGCTTGGCGTCGACGTTCAGGTGGACGTCCACCGAGACACCCTCGTCGTACCCGCGGACCGCACAGGCTCGCACAAGCCGCAGCGCCTCCTGCAAGTGCGCCTCCTGCGCCACGCGAGCAGCGGCCGGGTCGAGCTTTTTGCGGCCGCGCCGCGCGGCGCTGCTCAGAGCCGCAAACGGCTGCCGCGGGAGCGCGGGCCCGAGGGCTCGCAAACAAGCGGCTCGCATCGACTTGTCGGGCAGGAAAACCTGGTGGGTAGTGAAGAGCTGGGGCGCGCCACCCAAGAACCACACAATGGGGATCGGCAAAGGCGCGACGCGTCGATTGACGATCTATGCTTTTGACCCATCAGTCTCCCAACATGTGTGACATTAGTCAAAGAACTCACTTCACGGCGGTCCGCACGTGAGCCCCGCGGCGGCGCGGCGCACGTCCTGCAACGCCTGCCTGTCCACACTCACTACTCCTCGGGAGCACACACACGGACATGAAGCGCGCACGCGGCCCAATGGCCGTGCACGGGCAGCAGCGCAAGCGCCGCCAACCGCACCGAGCGACACTTTTGACCGCGCCAGGGAGTCGAGAGTGAGGAGAGAGAGAGTGAGTGGGACGACCGACCGCGAGTTCGGCATGAAGGTCACCGCGAGAATTGGAGTTGAATTGGCGAGAGACTGGCGACGAGATTAAGGGAGAGGCAGACGGGAGACGGCCGGGGCCGCGGCTGGGGGGGGCAATCCAAACAGTAACAGAATCACATGGGGAACGGCTAGCACCACAATCCCTATCTCTGTGTGGGCGCTCCGGCCGAGCGTCTGCTGCTTCACCCTTCACTCAATCGAGCCTCCGCCAACTTGCAACTAGCTCGCCAAAAAGAACCCGCCAACGCCTCCATTGAATCGGCGCCCACCCGACGCGCGCGCGCGCGGTCCGGACGGACGTCAAACTCAAAGGACGGCCGCGAAAACCGCGCAGGAAAACAACGTCTGTGACGGTGGCGGCGTGCTCTGGCTGGCCGGTCTTTCTTTTTTTCGCTCTTCGAAGAAAGAATCCCTCGCACACTGGTCAAATTTTACCTAGAATTCGCAAACTTGACGATAAATGAGAGCGCTCCAAACGGCGGAGGACAATGCTGCTCGCAGACAAGTGCGACCTGCAGGAGCAGCTCAAGCGGTCGCTCGTCGTGATTGAAGACAAAGAGCTATCCTACTTCACGCAGAACTGCGCCACCCTCGGCACGCAGGCCGCGCTCGTTGCCGGATTCGTCTATTCGGCCATCGTCGAGGTGCGGGGATCGGGCCTGGCACGTAGACAGCGCGAGTGGGGCTCCCGCCTGACTATGAGATGCGGGTGGATAGCTCAGCTCCTGCTAGGCTGGCTGTTGGCGTGTGGAGACCTGCACCTTGCATCTCCAAGGCGCGTGACATGGACGATGTTGAGGAGGGCACTCAAATGGCGTGGGCGGTGAGCTGCTCCATCTCGCTGGTGCTGGGCGTGATGGCAATCGTGCGGGCGATGCAGCTGTCAATCATGGCGCCCGGCCTCGCCCTGCGCGGCCCCGAGGGGTCGATGACTCGCGCCGTCATGGTGTTGCGCGGCGAGCGCCCAACGCTCCGCCCTCCGCCACGATGAAGACCCGTCCTCACTCTCTCCCCTGCTCGCGGAGCTCAGGGGAGTACAAGACGCTCCATCTTTACTTCTACGGCAGCCTCGTCGCCATGCTCGTCTCCACCACCGTCTATCACTACGTCCTCTTTGAGGGCCATCCGCGCCTCCCAATCCCCTCGAGTGCGCTTGCCCATGGCCCCTCGACCCCTCGCTCCTCGACATGCTAGCATCTCCCCACGCCTGCCTCTTGAGAGCCAGCCTGTTGAGAGTCGCGCCGCCCCCTCTGGTGCAGTCGTCATCATCGCCCTTGCCCTGCTCTACATCTGCTACGACTACTCCAGCCTCGAGACCAAGCTCCGCCTCCCGCCTGACCGCACGCGAGGCAGGCCTGGCTGGAATCCTGCCTTCGACCCTCGCCCCGACAGCTTCGAGGCCTCGCTCGCTTGTGTCGTCCCAAAGGCGCGCGCCCGCACAGGAGGAGCAACTGCGCCCGCCACCGCCACCGCGCCCACCCTCTTCTCCACGCCTCACGCAGGCGCGCGCGGCGGCCCGTGGCGTCGCACGTGGGGCGGCCAGGCTGCCGGCCAAAGGCGCGAGGGGAGTCTCCCAAGGCATGAGCCGCGCCGCATCCTCAGCAGGGCCGGCAGCATTCAGGGCGGGGGCGGGAGGCGGCAGCCGTAACGGCGAGACTCACCACTCCCAGGGTGCGCCGCAGCAGCCCCGCGGCAGGGATCGTCGCGCCGACCCGTCTGAGCGGAGCGCCCACTTCTTAAACACGGAAGGTGACAGGGGAGGGCCGTCAAGGCGGGACAGCGTGACGAGCGGCTGCGTCGAGTGCAGTCAAGGCGCTTCGTCGCGGCCTCCGCCCGAGCCGGAGCGGCCTCCCTCGCTGCTCGAAAGAGCGAGAAAGCTCTTTGATAACCTGTACTATCACGACGGAGGCGTGCCCGGTGGTCTGCCCTCGGGTTGAGTGCCAGTTGGGTGGGTTACGACTGTCCGTCGCTAGTCTCTTCTCGCTCGCCCGCACGGATGTGCCCGCGCGCGCAGGCGAGGGCTCGCATGTCTCCCTGTGCTCGAATGAATACACGCTTTCTCCATTCGCCCCGTTGTTTCTTTTCTTGGTTGTGTGAACCTCGCGGCACGTGGGGCTCGGGTCTTGCGGACTGCTCCTCCCCTGGGTCTCTTCACAGGTTAGTGCCAGTGTGCGCGCCAGTCCCGTGCCAGTGCGAGCAGGATTTTGACCGCGCAAGATGTAAGGGGGCTAAGGGCTTCTGTGCCCGCAAGGCGCCCCCGAGTCGCAGACGCGGTACACCCTTCCCTAGGCGGTACCATTGACAAATCTGGAATACCCCACACGAACAAACAGCAAAATCCGAATACCGTGGCGAAATATGTGATCTGGGCCGTGCAAGCCTTCAGCTGGTGTGCCAAGACATCTCCGTAAACTTCGAAAGTTGAAACCATGTGATCTGGGCCAGGCCACATAAGTGTCTGCTCTGCTATCCCATACCACCCCTCTCCATTTTCCACTGATCATGCCGAACTCTTAGCATGAGCTGCGCCCTGTGGACCTTTTGCGCAGCAACACCTTAAACTCTTAGGCCCTCCAAATGCGGGTCGGAGCGCGCAGCGCGCAGCGGAGTGGGCCCCGAGTTTGAAAAGGGCGACGGACGCTTGCGTCCTAGCCTGGAACAACGCCTCCCCGGCGCAGAGGGGCCCCGCCCGGAGGGAGCACTTGGAGTGCAGTCAGTAGCCGCACATCCAGGCCGGGGAGCTAACAAGTGCAACCCAGCGGGCCTTTCAGCGCATTCTTGGAGCACTTGGAGTGCAGCAGTCATCAACCTCACATCCAGGGCCGCGGAGCTGAGAAGCTGTCCTTCATTTTGTTTCGCGGGTCGCCGCCGCGCATGGCGGTTTTGCGAGTTCGCAAGCACCAGTTCTTGGGCCTCCTGCTCCTCCTCAGCACAGAGGCGACCAGCATCACCGCCCGCTCTCTGCCGGCTCTCCACCTCTCGAGCCGCGCGCTTCGTCCGCACATCCAGCCACGCAGCCGGAAGCTGCTCTGCTGCCTGCCACGCGACCCGCTGACGCGGATTGAGGAGACGGAGGGTGAGGCGAGGATTGGCCACGGTGGCTGGTTCGCGCAGAATGTGATGCAGGGCGTGGCGGGCGGGCCGAGCACCTACGCGGTGATGACGGTCTACTTTGTGCAGGAGTGACACCTGACACTTCCGAGACACTTCTGAGGCAGCCTGAGATGATACCGCGACGACACCTCGAGCGTTTGCGCTGTTCAGGGAGCGCTCGGCCTCGCTGCGTTGGCGCGCACCTACTTTCTCAAGGACCAGCTCGGCCTCTCTCCCGGCGAGCAGGCGGCTCTGATGGGCGTCGTCTCGCTGCCGTGGGTGATCAAGCCCGTGTACGGCTTCCTGACCGACGGGCTGCCCGTGTTCGGGTACCGCCGGAAGCCGTACCTCATCCTCGCGGGCCTGCTCGGCTCCGCCTCATGGGCCTCCCTCGCCACGGTCGTCGCGACGCCGGCGCAGGCGGCGGCGGCGACGAGGAATCGACGAAGGGAGGGGAGTCGAGGCTTAGACCCATCGCGTGTAGAGCAGGCGGTGGCGGCGTCGACGGTCGCGTCGCTGGGCGTCGCAATGTCGGACGTGGTGGTCGACTCCCTCGTCGTCGAGCGGGCGAGGATGACGAGCCCGCCTCCTCTTCAGCGGTCTGCTCTTCACGGCGCGGCGTGGACTAGGCGAGGGAGGACGAGTCGGCGTCCTCGGGCGCGCTGCAGTCGCTCTGCTGGACGTGCCAGTCCGCGGGCGGCCTCGCCTCGGCCTACTTCTCCGGCTCGCTGCTCGAGACAATGAGCCCGCAGCAGGTGTTTGCCATCACCGCCGCGCTCCCCCTCGCCGTCGCCCTCATCGCCCTCCAGCTCGACGAGAAGCGCGTCCCTCGCCTTGCCGCCACCTCGAGCCCGCTCGGCGAGTTCGTGCGGCTGACGAGCAGCCAGGGCGCGCTGCTGTGGCAGACGCTGCGGCAGAGGCAGGTGTGGCTGCCGACGCTCTTCGTCTTTCTGTGGCACGCCACGCCCTCGTGCGGCGACGCTTTCTTCTACTTCCTCACCGAGGACCTGCTGATCGGACCAGAGTTCCTCGGGCGAGTGCAGGCCTTGCGCCCGCCCCGAGCAGCGCCACCCCCGCCCACCCCCGCCCACCCCCGCCCACCCCCGCCCGCCCCCGCCCACCCCCGCGGGGCAGGTTGGCACGTCGCTCGCCTCGATCTTCGGCATCTGGGTCTACCGCACCTACCTGCAGGAGGTCCCGATCAAGGAGAGCACGCTGCGATGAACGAGGCCTCGCAGATGCCAATGCTTCGTCGTGGGGGATAGAACTCGTCATTCCTTTAGGAGACGCTGCGTTGGACCACCGTCGCTTCCGCCCTGCTCGGCCTCTCTGCAGCGGCCCACAGAAGAGGGACCCGTTGAGACGCCGTCCACGAGGGGGGCTCGTGTGAACAGGCCTCTCTCAGCTGCTGCTCGTCACACATGCCAACCGCGCGCTCGGCATCCCCGACACCGTCTTCACGTTCGGAGACGACTTGGTGCTGACCGTCCTCGGCCAGCTCGCCTTCATGCCGCTCCTCGTCCTCGCCGCCTCGCTCTGCCCGCCCGGCGTCGAGGGCACCCTATTCGCGCTGCTGATGTCCACCTTCAACGCGGGCGGCATCGTCGGCCGCGAGCTCGGCGCCGGCCTCACTGCTCTGCTCGGCGTGAGCTCGTCGTCGGCGGCGGGGGGCGCGACCGACTTTTCGAACCTGTTTACGCTGGTGCTGCTTTGTAACCTCGCGTCGCTGCTGCCGCTGCTCGCGCTCGGCTTCCTCGACGAGGCGCCCACCGGAGGCGCTGGAGGGGCGGCCGCCGCGGCCGCCGCCAGCGACGAGCCGGGCGGCGGGGCGGCGGGCTGACTAGGGGGATGGAACACGCAACATGCATGCGGGCGGCGGGAGCTCGGGCCCCGGGCCGCGCGGGCGGCTCTGTGTGTCAGCTCTCACGTGTGACGACTTGTGTGCGTGTGGCGCGCAGTCCGCGGGGAGTCTATATGTACAGAGTACACGGAGTTGGGGCGCTGCACAAAAAACAAAATCCACCCGTGGTTGGGTAGAGTAGGGGTAGAGGGTTGCCCAAAACTTAGACCTGCTCGGTTAAGAGAGGCCTCCCGCCGATCTTAGACGATAGACCGCGTAAGCACCCCCCAGCGTGACCGGTCACACTTAGACCCGTTAAGCCTCGAGGCTCAGAACTTAGCCTACTACCCAACCAGTCCCCTCCCTTTCTCACGCTCGCCGAATGTCCGCCGCGGCGTGGCCCGCGCACGCAACGTGCCACACCTCTCCCCCTGGCGCTGCGGCAAAATCGGCGGTCCCGATCCGGCTGGAGCAAACCTATTCGCGGCAGGAGGTGATCAGCGCCGCGCACGGTGCTGGAGGCCGCGCTACACCTCTGGCGGCGCACGGAACAGAGCGTCTCCGGAGTGATGACGGTGCGGCCAGCCCGCCGAGAGAGCATGGTCGCGTGCAGCTGGACGGAACGCGCCTGATGCATTGCCGCGCGAAACACGCCGAAATCAGCCGAGGCTGGCCGAGATCAGCCGAGATCAGCCCAGATCAGCCGAGTCAGTGCGAGCGGGGGCGCCTTCTCCATCGCGCGGAGCATCTGCGCCTCGCGGCGCCGTTGCGAGGAGCGGCCGAGGAGCGCCTCCGCCACGGGCGCCAGCTGCGAGATCGGTGCGTCGGGAGGCATCCGTGCCAGCACCGCCTGCTGACATGATCTCTGTGTCAACCAGCCTCACGCTCCAAGCTCGTCGGGAGGCACCCACCCCACCGCCGGACCTCCGGCGCCACCGCCGCCCCATAGTCCCGCAACAGCGCCACCGCCGCCTCCACCCGCCGGGGCTCGCCGCCGAGGTAGAGGTCGAGCAAGCAGAGCCGCAGCTCCGCCCGCTGCCCCTCCGGCTGCGCATCGCAGTACCGTCGAGCCGCCTCCGGGTCACCGCCCTCGCGCACCAGCAGAGCGAGCGCCTCGCCCTGCCTCTCCAGCCGAGAGAGCAGCGACACGCGCGCCTGAGGGCAGACGCGAACCACAACAGCCTCAGCGAGCGAGGAGGGAGGGGCCAGGGCAAGGCCTGCGCTGCCCGCGCGCCGGAACCAGCCAGCACCCGCCCACGCCCCCCTTGCACCCTCGCGCGGCGGCGGTGCCACCGGCCGGCGGCGGCGCAAGCAGCTGCAGCAGCTGCTCCGCCTACAGGACACGCCCACCAAACCCTTCCGCGCCATGACGCCGGCGCGAGCAGCCGGGCAGCAGCTGCTCCGCCTACAGGACACGCCCACCAAACCCTTCCGCGCCATGACGCCGGCGCGAGCAGCCGGGCAGCAGCTGCTCCGCCTACAGGACACGCCCACCAAACCCTTCCGCGCCATGACGCCGGCGCGAGCAGCGGGCAGCAGCTGCTCCGCCTGCGCACGCGAGAGGACGGCGCCGGAGAGGAGCTCGTTCAGCCGGCGCTCGAGCGCGCCCTGCTCGCCGCCCGCCGCGGCCGCTTCCTTCAGCCGCGAGGCGTACGCCTATCGGACGTGTCTCGGACAGCAGTCCACGACAATGGCATGTCGTGGCGGCCGCCTCCATCGCGCGTCCCGCGCCTCTGCCAGCAGGCACGCCGCCGTAGACCTCGCGGAGGCCGACTCCTCGCCGGCACCCTCCCCCCCGCCCGCCGACAGCGCTGCGGGGCTTGCAGGCGCGAGCGACGCCGGGAGCGACGCCGGAAGCGAGGCGTGCAGCCGCTCGAGCACCGGCACCAGCAGCGCGGGAGCCTCGTCGCGGAGGATTGCAGCGACGGCGACCGGCGTGAGCGGCGCGGCGGATGCCGGCCGCGCCGCGGTCAGGCTGGGGAGCACCGCGTCGGGGTGCGAGTGCTGCACCAGCCAGCGCACGTACTGCTGCAGCAGCGCCGCGTGCTCGCCGCCGAGCATGCTCAGGTAAGCGGACAGCGCCGGCGGCACCGCGCCACGAGGAAGCGCCGGTGCGGACGCCGGCGAGCCGGCGACCGGGGAAGGCTCGTCCGCCTCCGCCAGCTTTAGGAGCGCGCTCAGAGCCGCCTCGTGGCTGCCCGTGGCGCGGAGCGCCTCGCAGGGCTGGAGCGCGGGCCAGCGGCGGAGAGCATTCGACCACGCCTCCTCAGACGCCGAGTTGCCGTGCTCGCCGAGGCGGGGCGTGAGGAGCATTCGCCAGGGGGCGCGTCCGCCCAGCGGCCAGCGCCCCTTCGCCCAGCAAGCGTACCCGCCAGCGCCCGCGAGCGTCCCCGGCCAGCCTGCACAAAAAAGATTCTAAGGGCCTCCAAGTGCGCGTCAGCGGTCGGGGCTTCCAAAATCCTGCTCGTGCAGGTGGGGACCCTGTCCTCCTCCCCCATCCCTCGTCTGGGTTTCTGCTTATTTCTTTCTTTCTTTAGCTGTCCCCGGGGGGGGCTTGGGGTCAGTTGTCGGAGGAGGTGAGAGATGAGCTAACGCGGCCTCTGCGAGTGGAGTCGGGACGTACGAGCTCACCGGGGGAAGGCCCGTCGCAGTGGCAACCGGACCACCGCGACCTTCGACAGGGAGGGCCACGCCTCCCCGAGCCTGGGGAGGAGCCGGCGGAGGGGGGGGGGGGCGAGCCAGGGACGATAGAGAGGCCGCGGGTGCGGGCACGACTCGTCGACCAGGGAGAGCGGGCTCGACCTCCCGGGGGTGGAACTGGGCGCGACCCAATGCCACCGTTCTCGCCCAGGGGGGGCGGGAGCGGGGTCACCGGAGGCGGAGTCAGCGGGATCGGGCAGAGAGGACGGAACGGCGGCGGGGCCGCGGCCAAAGAAGGCTAGGAGGGGAAGCCGGGCCCCACAGCCGTCGCGTGACCATCGGAAGGCGAACAGGAGGGAGGACCGAGGGGAGGGAGGGCCCCCCTCGGGGGGGAGTGTGGAGACCGTGCGCGGAGCGGGGGGTTCCGAGCGGTGATGTCAGTGAGGGATGTGTGTGTTGTCGCGCTAGTGTCTGGTATCTATACTAGCCCCGAGTAGAGGGGGCGTTCCGCTGCTAGGGGAAACCCGGAGCGCAGAGCCAACCCTCGGGGACCCGTGTTTACTTTAAGGCCCTTTCCCGGCGAACGCGCACCCCCGGGGGTAGGGCTCTCTAGCCCGTAACCCGATGCCAATCATCCGGCCCGCTGGGTGCGCTTCTTAGCTCCCCGGCCCTGGATGTGCGGTTGCTGACTGCACTCCAAGTGCTCCAAGTTTCCCGCATCCGCATGTGAGGAACTGCGTACTACACATCACCCTCCCCAGCATCAGTGGGTGGTCTTTTGGGGTCTGAGCCCAACGGAGAAAAAGAAAAGTCTCGCAGAAGGAATAGAAAGATCAGAGAGAGAGATTTTTGGCAATACCAAACAACTAACAACTCTAACACTCACACATCATTTGGGGCCTGGAGCCCCTGCAGACTGATCTTTGCCCTGTTCACGCGCGCGCGAGACGTGCAGACAGGGTTGCCAGGTGAGAGCGAATGGCGCGGTTCACGCCTCGCACAACAGAGAGAGATGCACTGTTTTGTAAGATCAGAAAAATAAAAAATCACGATCCCCTGACTGCACTCCAAGTGCTCCAAGTGCTCCACACGTCTCGCGGGACGCGGCGCGAGCCACGATCTCCTGCCCGATGTCCGCAAACGGAAGGCACGAATAGCCGGACACAGGAACGGCATAGCTCAACCCTCAACGAGAGAAACCACACACAACACACACACCTGTAGCACGAACAGGTTCCCAGAGCCGGACGCAGGAACGGGGCACTGGCCAAAACGCACCCACACCTGACGCACGTGGCACGAACAGGTTACGAACAGCCGGACGAAGGTCGAAGGAACGGCAGAGACACACACACCCACGATCTCGGGCACCGCACCCGTGCTGCCACAAAGCACAATGTGCTGCCACAAAGCACCACTAGCGATTTCGCGGAGGGCGTAGTGAAGTGCTGGGGGCGACTGGGGCGCTCACTGTGTGTTATACTGGTTGGGTAGTAGTCTAAGTTCTGAGCCTCGAGGCTGAGCGGGTCTAAGTGTGACTAGTCACGCTGGGGTGCTTACGCGGTCTAAGATCAGCGAGAGCCTCTTACATCGGCTAAGTCGGCCGTGGCACAGCCTGGGGCCAAGAGGCTCCCACCGTGATCAACGATACGGCGCTAGCCCCCAAATTTTCTTCGCCTGCGGCGGGCGCCTTCTAATCCGGATCGATCCTCCTCATGCCTCAGCAATCGCCGCCTCAGCATCCTCCTCTTCCGATTCTCGTTGCTCTTCTTGAGCGCAATCTTTAGCCAAACATTTCTCACATAAATAGCCTCAAGCTCAAACAAACGCATGTCAGAGAAGCCTGTGTATGCTGGTCCTCTTTGAACGATCCGCGCGTGAGGTAGATCTAGCATAGGGCCTTGTTGGCAGCAGCCAGCTTGTTGCGCTGCTTCGTTGCGATGAGCTGATTGGGATCGCAGAAGTGCATGCCAAGCACCGCCACGATCTTGAAGCAGAACACGTCGCAACCGCATCGTCCGCACTGCCATCGGCATGCCGCGCCCGCCGCTTCGCCGCAGCCGCCTTAAGACACGCATAGCGGCAGCACATGCTACGGTGCGCGTACTTGAGCAGGAGTTGCGCGCCGCAAGTAGCGCACTGGCCCTGGGACAAGGCGATATGGCGTCGTGCGCGGCATACGTTGGTCGGGACGCGTCCAGGTATTTTTCGGGTAAACCTGGACTTTTGCAGGTATACCCGGGTTTTACCCGGATTTGGCCTTGTGCCGTCTAAGTTCATGGCCCCCGACCATACAGCGTCTAAGTCCGAGCCCGGCTCCGTGCGGGGGCTAAGTTGAGCGCTCGCTCGCTGCAGAGGCTAAGTGTAGAGCGACCCTCTAGCCCTACTACCCAACCATTTGTGTTATTCGGGTGGGGATCCATCAGTGGTAAGCGGCTTTAGTCACAGATCCAATCTCAGACGTCACACCAACACCACAAACACGCTCACTTCGCCGCTGCTGTAGATGGGCCTCCGGGGGCCCATGCTATGTCGAAGTACGGACCCGATCTCGGCACTCACGGGCTGCCACGCGCCCGCGCGCGGCGCGGGCCGCACCGCCCATGCCCCCGGGTCACCACCCCGCCTCTCGGCCCTCTCGGCCCTCAGGAGCGTGCGGGAGACCGGCGAGGGGCGCGCCGCGCGCCGCCTGCAGAGCCGCCAGAGGCATTGTCGCCTCCGCTGGCGGGGTTCCCGCGCGCCCGCCCGGCCGCCCGCGCCCGCGCCCGCCCACGCCGCGCCCGCGGGCTCCGGATGCGCCGCCCTCCTTCTCCTTCTTCTCGATGGCAGTCCACGCGTGCTTGTCGACGGGTCGGCGGCGTGGTCGAGAGGAAGGTCGCTGGCGGCCGCAACTCTGCCGCCGTCGCTCCGCCGGCTCTGATCGAGTATCGGGCGTTGAGGGCGGCGGCGCAAGCGGGTCTGGCGCATCCATCGCCACGAGCCTCGCGGCCGCGGTCGTGGCACACCTGGTGGCGGCTCTCGAGGCCGTCTCTACGGCGCTCGACGCCGTGTGAGGTCGCCGGCGGCCGCAACTCCGTGTCTCCGCCGCCGTCGCTCCGCCGGCTCTGACCGAGTATCGGGCGTTGAGGGCGGCGGCGCAAAGCGGGTCTGGCGCATCCATCGCCACGAGCCTCGCGGCCGCGGTCGTGGCACACCTGGTGGCGGCTCTCGGGGCCGTCTCTACGGCGCTCGACACCGTGTGAGGTCGCCGGCGGCCGCACCTCTGCCGCCGTCGCTCCGCCGGCTCTAACCGAGTATATCGGGCGTTGAGGGCGGCGGCGCAAAGCGGGTCTGGTGCGCCACGGCCACCACCCTTGCCACCGCCCTTGCCGCCGCCCTTGCCACCCTTTGCCGCCTTGCCTCCGCCGCGGGCGGCGGTGGGAGCGGCCTGCTGGGCTAGCATGTTGTCCGTGCTGTGGACGGGCACGTGGAACGTCAATTCATGTTCGAACGGCCTCCGGGATTCAAACAAAAAATACGCCACTCTCACAACCCCTCCGACCCCCCGGGACCCGTGGGCGTCGAAGAGGCGCTCTCGGGGGGCCGTTCTGAGTTCATGCTACCACGAAGCACACTGTGCTGCGTCGAAGCACCGGCCCCGAGTCCGCCCAGCCGAGGCAACTCAGAAGGCCGTCGAGGGCGAAAGGGAGTTCGCTACTAAACGGCCGAAGCGGGTATCACTCCAGTTCACGCCCGCCGACCCGCGATGCACCTTATTACCCGAACCCCCTACCTGCAAGCCCAGGTGTGAACCCCTACCGGTTAGGAGAAGAACCCAGTCGAGGTGGGCGGCGCGGGAGAGACCCAGGCGCCGCTGAGCCGGCCCTCTCCTGCGCCGCCGCCCCGCCCGCCCTGCCGCCTCTCACCGCCGCCACATGTATGCCGCAGGCCGACATGGAGGTCGATAGCAAGGCTGATGACAAGGCCGCCGGCCCCCGCTTTGTCGTCAAGAAATGGCGCGCGGGAGCGCCCCGCCGCCAAGACTGCCACTCCGCCGAGTGGCCCCCCGTCCGCGGTTTGCCCCGCGCACCCGCCCACCGCCCGCGCCACCTCTTCCGCGCCGCCCCGCCGCGCAGGAACGCCGTCACCTTCTGGTCATGGGACATCTGCACCGGTGGGCACCTTGCTGCTGCCCGCTGCCCCGCCGACGTCCTCTCACCGCGCCTGCCGCTCCGTCTGCAGACACGTGCGCCATCTGCCGCAACAAGCTGTACGAGCCCTCGATTGAGGCTCAAGCCAGTGCGCACCGCCGCCGCCACCCCCGCCGCCGCCGCCCCTCTGGCCGGCCACACCGCGCACCCGCACCCGCGCACCCGCACCCACGCGCGCCCCTCGCCGCAGACCCCGGCCTGGCAGACGACGCCGGCTACTCGATCGCGTGGGGCTGCTGCGGGCGCGGCTCCCCCATCACGATTGAAGGCTCGATATGGAGTCTAGCCCCAATTTTTTGCAATATAGCGCCCTACATTCTTCTCCAGAACATCCATGGGAACATTACCACCCACCACCACGGCGTCGTTGAACGCCTTG